ACGACTATTTACTGACTGTAGGAGGAAAGCCTTGAACCGTTTCTACATTATTATCTCATTATTTTATTTTATCCAAATTCTTTTTATTTACAAATGCATGCAAGAAACTTCAACGTATCATTTCTTGTTTATAATGTCATGATCCTATATGGCAATACATAATTGGAAGTTCTAGAAATGAATAAAGCAGCGTCAAATAAAAGCAAGATGATGCACTACAACTTCGTGTACTCTTTATGTACTCTTTTTATAAATGTAAACCTCACAATTATAGGTATTAACATATAATATATGTTCCTTCGATATCTAATTATATTACGCTTCATAATGTTGAAACTATGTAACATCGTAAAAAGAAAAGTCACAGATGGAACGTTTTTCCGTACATTTCATATATATTGTACACATTTTACAAAATTACATCTCGGTGAGATTTACGTCAAAATATTTCTCGATCACTATATGCCGCTCAACTAATTCGTGTATTTAACAGTTAATGACTTCAGCTGGACAATTACCTCGCGCAATTATTATTACGTTACGTTCCTTCTCGCCGTGGAACTCGATTAATACTTTGTAAGTAATTACATTGCAAATATCGCCAGATATAATTTGCAACATTGATCGATAACGATGCAGAGTGCTTAATTATTTTCCGTATTCCTTTTTAACACTTTAAAACGTAGACTTAACATAGATAGGAACCTTTATTTCCGAACTTTTACAAAAGTTTTAATACTGGAAGGTAACATTAATTACTTTTTTCAAGTATTAAAAACACTGGTGTGCAGTGCTTTTAATTAGTGAAAATAAATAATTTTCAGCATTAAATTGGTCAGTATTAAATTGAACTTTTGTAAGGAAAATACGCTGCTCGAGCTCTTCGTTGAAGTATTATCCAGTTCTATTGTTCGCAAGAACACATGATGTGATCGCGGTATACAAAATATTTCTCCTTTCTCCTTCTGCCTGTGCTATTATTGTCTGCACATTCATCATTCTAACTTATGCTGTTTACGGATAAAGTTTGAACGACTACTGTCCTTATAGATGTATCACGTCAATACGTCAAGATGAGGATTTATAATTCGGCGAGCGAGTGCCAGCATTCTTCTGTCCTTCAATATCCTTCTTTCCCTTTCAAAAGTTTTTTACAAGTAGCGAGAGTAAAATGGTTTAAAATATATGTCGTTTTTTTGTTTCATTTTTATTTGTAAAAGTCGGTTTTGTACAGGGGGATCATATAAATTCCCGTCAGCTTTTTTACACATACAAAATACTTTACACATCCGCCCTCAGATTGCATATTTATTGTCTGCGTATTTTTATAGCACGTTTTTGATACGATCGATTGTGCTCTCGTCAGAGCACAATCAACAAATATTATATAAAAAGAAAAGAATACGTGTACACTGCTTTTTATATAAAATAAAGCAAATAACAATCACTATATGGCGCTACGAGCAAAATTTTTAAGATACTCAACTGCATAACGAAACGCAACGCGTATTGCTCTGAGAATTTACGTTCGCGCAGTTTTTTCTATTTCTTTTCTTTTTTTTTTATTTTATCTTGTTTTATCACGTTGACGAAATTTGTAAAGCAACTAACCGCGAGATGAAAATGATTTGGTAGATTCAGATGAATTCATGCACTGTTAAAACACGATCGCAACGCATCCCGCCGCGATTTTTTTCTTCTTTTTTTACTCGTATAAGTGCACTGTGCTATCTTAATTAGATCGACTTGAACGCAGTTCGCAAGAAGACACGCACGCCGAAGAAGCGTTCTGTCGACGGAATCGGAATACTTCTGTCGGAATACCCCCGATGAAAAGAATTCTCACACAATATCTTATAATATTTAACTGTTACGATATATTACAGTTGACATTATAATAAATCGGTTAATATTATTAATAATATTTTTAAGAATTTTTTATTTTGATGAAGATTTGTGAAAGAATTATATCTTAAATTTCTTCAAATTTCTAAGTTTTCTAAATAAATATTTGCGTAGAATAAGAAATCTTAGAATATTTCAGAATTCACATAAAATATTCTAGAAAAGATGCCGACTTTCTCAGCATTTGTGAAAAATATTTCAATTCGTATAAAAAACATTTGTAATAAACTTTTTAAAAAGTTATAAAATTATAAAAGGATTGAAGAAACTGAGATAGGTGCGATAAACAATGCATATTTTTCGCAATAAGTTATTTGCAGTATTTTAAGAGGTTTATTAGTATCATTATTAAATTGACGATCAATTTAATTTGTGATAATAATATTTCAATATCATGTCAGTTTATGATTGCGTTTCAAATCCGACAACTAATCGATGCAGTTTATATACTTGAAAGATGTATTTAAAATTTACATATGTATAAACACTATTAGGCACCAAGATCCAAAATTCATTCTTATCCTTGACAATATTGACTTTTTTATTTGATTTATTCATAAATGTATGATTGTTTACTTCATATGTATTTATTTGATAGTTAATAAACAGTGGAATACGTATAAAATATAACGGTAATATGTATAAAACCATATAGAAATTCTGAAAAATATTCTGAAATTTATATAGAAATTCTGAAAAAATTATATAAAGAAATTCTAAGAAAAATTTTCACCAGGGATTCTCGGCGATTCCAGGCAACGTCGTAAAAGCGATAATACTGAACATGTGTGGGCCGAAAGGCGATGTCGACTTGGACGTGAATCCCTCTCCCCCATCGCGAAGACTAAATATTAGTCTCCGATGCGGCGCCTATAATATATTGTACGTAGCGTACCGTAAAATACGGTAATATGTACACGGAATGTACGACGACGTCCTTTCGTTCCCTTCTTCTCTTTTCTTTACGAAATATCCTAATTTATTACAATACTATACAGCGGCGCGTATCATCCGCATGAGTCGCGATAGACGCACCGAGCGAAATTAATATATCGTATTCGAAGTATCGCTTAAAACACAAAAACGTGTTGTACTACGTGTTGCAATTGTATTCAGAATGCGAATTAACTCTCTAGGACTGACGGTTTATTGGATTCAATTATAAATTTTTTGTCAAAATTATTAATTCAATTTTTTTATGTTATATCTATAAATTTGAATTATTCTTGCTAATATATACTTAATATTCATGTTTTTAATTCTTTTTATAATATACATTCTTTTTATGTCATTTTTTTTAACGAAAATTTGTGCCTTTTAACTGTCTAATAATAAGAGTCAAATATGATGCCTCTAACACAAAATATTGCAGTAATATTGCGCAATATTACAATTTCACGTAAGTACGTGAGTCCGCCTCGAGATGAAACGCTTCTTGTAAGAAGAAACATCCAGGTCTATAAGAGGGCGCATGCAAAAGTTAGCGAATCTTCTGGGAATTTCCAAGATCTTTACGATGTGTTTTCTAAGCCCCCCAATGTTTTTTTTATTATAATTATATCGTGTGTATTTTGGTATATCATGCTAAGCAATGCAATAATATTTTAGCAATTAATAAAACTGGATTAATTATCGAAATATTGCATAATGTTGCAGCAATACATCTACAATATTTCTTTAAAAATTGCTACAATATTGCAACTATGTTTTATGAAACATTACAATTTTTCAAAGTAAGTATTGTTACAATATTACTGTAATATTTTATGCTGTTTGGAATCCCACGTCTTCAGTTAAAGTGTTTTCTGTTTTACTGCAATTATTTAAAGTAGATTAATAAAGTAGATTAATAAATTTATTGTATTTTTTTGCTTAAATTAGAAATTGTAAAATTTATATAATAAAAATATTTTTAGACATCAGAGTATCCGCTTTGGTCAAATGGCTTCTTCACTTATATATGTATTTCATTTTTTTTGTCTATAAAAATTCATCTATGAATTTTTTATCTATAAATAAACAGAGAAAGAAGTTTCATTTTATTTTTTTACTCATTTTGTACATTGATTAAATGAATGAACAAAATAGAGAAAGATTCGATTCCATCTTTCTGGATATATTTTGAAAAAACTTACCATTAGAGAATTAATTAACATAAATTAAATAGGTTATTAGACTCAGCTTCAATAATGTGTGACAGATTTTGGCGTCAGCTCGGGAGAGTTAAATCGTTCACATAATGTCCGAGGGAATCGTCAACGGGACATTGTAAATGTATTTTTGGTATTTGGTTTTCAATCGCCCATCGTGTTTCTTCTTCGAAGCGATGCTATTCGCGTACAATTTCGCCAAGGTTCATCCTTGCCGCGCGGATTTTCCAATCGGCTAATGACATCTCGATGCAGTCGATCGAGTGAAATTCGTGAATTAATTTCTTAATAACTGCTCACTCGTTCCTATGCCAGCTTTAGACGATAAGTTGCATCATCGCGTTTATATTCCAAAATTTTTTTCTAATTTTTGAAAAATACATTCGTTAAGTGACAGTACTAGCAAATGTATTTTGCAGTAAACACCAACCAACAATAACATATAACATCAATCTCTTACACTATTAGGGGTTTGCAACAACATTGTTGTAACGTTTCAGTATTACTGCAATAGTACTAGAATAATTTATGCTGTATGAGAATGTTATAATTTCACATTATAATTATTATGTAACACATGTGTTATGTTACATTTATGTGTTATGTTAAGTGAATAAATTATGACATTGATGTTATGCTACTGTTAGTTTATTAGCTTATGTGACGGTGTTTACTGGATTTTTATCGTTCTATCGCACGACATTCTGCTGGCTCTCGTACTGACAATAACTCACGTCATCGACTCAACTTCTATAAGCCTGACAATATATCCTATCTTTCAGGCGAGTCTCTTGTAAAAAATTTAATACTAATACTAGACAATTAATCACTTATTTTTAATATTAAAATACTATATTAACAATATTCTTAATGCTCAAAATAAATAATCAATTAATCAATACTAGTATTAAATTTCTATAAGAATTATTTTCTAGAACCGAAAGATGTTCCGCATAGTATTGATAAATAATTCAGAAGATTAAAAAATCTTGGAATTAGTTATTTGCGCGAGGAAGACCAAATTCCCATTAAACCGCATCGTAAGAGCTAAAGTAGGACTTTATGCGGCAGATATTTCAAGGGCTTTGAGTAAAATCTCCGAGAGCTTCTCCAAAGCTTCCAAAAATAGGTCGTGTGGCAGCTTCTAAATACCTATCTAAATTTCGTCGTATACGAAGGCAACTATTTGAAGACACATACGCGTTGGTATTACGACTACACGTGCTTTTATTTACGCGCTCCGTGGCGAAGTGCCAGAATTTTCGCTGTGAGCCCAAGGATGAACGAACTCTGGATTTACGGAGTCCTAACATTAAACTGCTATCGCAATTCTCGTGTAATTTAATATGTAACTTCATTAATTATTTCTAATTGGAAAATACGACAACCTTCAATTTTTTTACTTGTCATACAGTAAAGAGAATTATGCTTTTAGGATCTTGAAATCCTTAAGTTTCGAGACTAGCGAATCTTAGGCTTTACTCGTACTCGAGAGATATTTTATTAAATATATGAGGAATATTCGCAAAATTATCGCCATTAATTAAATGCTTCTATCGTCTTTTCTGGAAGAAATTAATTCTCAAACTTTAGGCTTGAATTCCAGAGTCAGGAAGAAAAATTCGACATTCCATTAAAATACAATTTTTAGATAGTCGACGAATTAATTTGCCACGTGCTACCGACTTCGTATTATCTTCTGATATATTAGTAGCTAATTGAAACCTGAGTACGCGCCCGCTCGACTTGACAAGGTACAAATGATCGGTCACTTATATTTTGTGTTTTTAAAAAAAAAATTATGAATTATTAAGTATTGAAACGTTCGCATCGATAATGAAAATCATTTGACCAGTTTTTACGAAATGCAAACAACCAGTCCCAAGATACCTACTCTTTAATTAATTCTTGGCGAACGTAGGAGTGGTGAATATATAAGTGATGAATTATTAATACTTTGCCAAGTAATACCATTTGCGACCATCCGTCCGTGGGACTCGTCGGCGGACTGGTAGATCGATGATTAGATTTGGTGGAATATACTTTCAGACGACCACAGCCTCGTAGGAATGCCCTTTCGGTCCGACAGTTCTAACTTGTGCGTCCCGCCTACCGGAGAACGCTATAATTTGCGACTTCCTGCAAAAGAAAAATGCAACATGTCTTGTTCGAGCATTTGTAAGTCGTTCCATCTGTCGAACATACGATAAATCGATTTTCAATCATTATGACCATAAATTTGAGGAAATGTCAGATAAAAATTTTATCGTCGTATGCTTCCCGATATAATTGATTTTTAATGTCGTTATAATGATTTAATATCATATTCCCTGGAAAATAATTTTAATTATAATGTAATTAAAACTTACATAAATAATAAAATTAGCATATTGCTTTCTTGCTTCAAAAGTGACTCAACTTAAAGAAATAAATTTCTCAGAAAAAAGGAAGAAAAAATTATTTTTAACTTGGTAAAAAATTCTTGATCAATCAAATATTATTAGCAAAAAGAATATATCCTTAAAATATCATTTTTGTCATTTTCAAAACTCTTAAAAATCATCCTTTCAAATTGTGACAATTATGATGACATCTTTTTTAAACTATTCTTTTTGAGTTGTGACGATTTTGACGATTGTTCATAAAGTTAATTAGTTTTTTTTTTTTAATGATAATAATATTTACTGAATTCATTTATGATAAACTCAAGAACGTTTTTTTCAGTTATGCCATTTTAAAAGAATAATGTGTGTGTGTGTGTGTGTGTGTGTGTGTGTGTGTGTCTCGAAATTGTCATAATTGCTATTAGTTTCTTGTTATACAAAAATTAATCTTACTACGGTCAGGGCGCGTCGAAATCTTGATCTCCGACCAGGTACAGAAATTGGAAGGCAATTGCCAGCAGGCTGATCCCGAGTAAATCACCCATCGCGGTCAGATATGGAATCGCCGAGTTGTCGGGATCGATCTTTCGCTTCCACATCCAATGGATCATTATGTAGGCGATGTAGAGGAGAGCTGCGACCTGCAGCATCGCTGCGCAGAGGTAAACGAAGACGAAGAGTGGAGTCATCGATGTGTTACCGTCTTTCATATAATTGATCAGGTAAATAAAAATAACGTGGCCCGGTATCACCATTGTCATCAGGACTCTCGTGGTTCTAGCGTGCATACCTGAAAAAACGAGGCAATAAAAAATTATGAAAAATCTTGATTATTAAAAAAAGACACACGAAAGAGGATACCTTTCCCAAAAAAATTGGCAATTGGAGTGATGAAGATGACGGGGTGGGTGTAGCCCGGTGGGATTAGAAGTGTGCCGAGTTCGGCTTGTTTATGAAGTGCCGTTGATATTCTGCTGGCTTGAACGGCCACCAGGTTCCCGCCGACGCCATTGATAACCGGCTGGAACACTGTCAGGTTTTCGAAGCGCGACACCATAAACTCCAATATAAGACCGCCGCAGCTATAATAAAACATTTCGCAATTATAGATTCTTCTTTCCTTTGAGCCATATTCGAAATGTGATAGATAAATGTGATTAATAAAACTCTAATAATACACGAATAAACGATTTTGCTAAAATATTTAAAAATTTAGATAGATTGTATAGATCTGAAAATAATTTTGTTGGATTATTAAAATATTTACGTAAGAATTGCAAGCATGATGAACAATGCTGCAAAAAGCTTTTACACTCTAACAACCAGCCTAAGTGTCTTACATAATTATTTTCAGATCTGTAGCTAAATTTTTAGATACTTTAGTTCTTTTTTTAGAGATCTTATAAGCCTTTGATCAACATTATTTATATAGTAAAGAACGTTGCTAAAACATTGCAATTTTAAATGTTAAAGTATAAATATTTTTTAACGTTGAATCTATATTTCACTATGTTGACGCACATTTGCTATGTTAATTACATTTGCAATGTTATAATTCAACATTTCTGATATGTTAATTCAACATTTGTATGCTACATTATGATTTATTTACTGTCAAGTTTCAGAAAAATTTCGAAGAATTTGAGAAACTTTTTTTACCTGCTAATTAACATGGCCACCATAACCGGCGTCCAGCCGAAGTAGAGCACATCATTGGTATATTTGTTTTTCTTGGCGATCCATACCCAGAGCGGCGTCACGAGGACGTAACAGGCTATGACAAGAGGTGCCACCCAGTCCTGCTTGTCTATGCATTCATAAAGTATGGTAGCGATCCATGAGAGGAGAGCCAACGATGTAATGTCGCCGAGACTGGCGGCTATTGGCGTAGCCACGTTGTCCGGATTGATATGGCAATGACGGGAAAAGACGATGACGCCTGCGGTAATGAGGCCCAGAACAAAGGAAGCAAGGGATGCGGTGACCAGACTGCTGGCGCATAGTAGATAAGCATGGTCCAGAGAAACTGTGCCATTGCGGAAGGCACCCATCACGATCGCCACCACGGAACCCAGGAATCCCACCACTATCGCTTGACACTGCGCACGATTAGGGTGACTTTTAGTCCCGAGTAACGGACCTCCCGAAAAAACTTGATGGCTGAAGAGAAATTAAATCTCTTTGCTTGTTTCTTCAATTTTTCTTAGTTACAGTTACTGAGATATATCATGTTGAAAATTGGCAAAAAAATTGAGATTTTTAGTTTAATCGTGCGTTAATAAATATTCAATTTGATAGATATTTTGCAAGATATTTCCAATGACGGAAAAAAATTGAAAGAACAGCCAGCCACAAATTAAAGAAAAAAAATTTTAGGTTTATAGATTGATAATTCGAAGAATTGTATAATTTGACATTGTATACTTGTTTGAGTGCGTTGATTTTTTAAATTTTATTTGAAAACTTTAGTTTTAAATACATTATATTAGGTGTTGGAATTAATTCGTAGCGTTTTACAAGTGATGGGAAGTACTTTCATTAATGTATTTTTTAATGCTCATGTGAAATAAATAACATTTTCATTAAAAACGCTACGAATTAATTCCAACACCTAATATAATTGCAAATTCATTAGTACAATCGCACTGCGGTAACTTTTTTACATATTTGGAAAATTGTATTTAATTTTTATCGTCGGAAATTATAAACGTCTGCTGATTCTGTATACACGTAAATTGGTTTTTCTAAAGTATTATACTTATATTATACTATTAGAAGTATTATACTATTAGAATCCTGCACTATATTATATGGAAAGTTGGAAATATATTAATCGTCATACATGGAAAGAACGATTTTTGTTGAAATATCTAAAAATATCAAAAATATGCTCACAAAATATCTTTGATACACAGCTAAAAAATTTTTTTTATTGAACCTTGTCTATGATATCTTTTGTTCATCACATTATAAACTATATTATTATGTAAAAACTTCCCGAACAGAAATTGAGATTTCTTTCAGGCATATCTGATGCATGATTAGAACTCAATTAGGTAAGAGCAAGGTCTGTCTGATGTGGTTTTCCTAAAATCATCTTTATCAAGATTTGAGCACGTAATGACAGGATGCATAAGAATTACTTGATATCATCCTGGCGTCTGAACAAGAAATGAACAGGTGCGCCTGATAAGAATTGCTCAATGACAACTTAATCAGAACCTAAACAAACAGTAATAGAGTTGAATGATCATTTGACCGAAATCCAATTTTCCATATAATTAGGGGGTTTATTAACTTATACAGATCTAAAAATAATTTTGTTAAACCATTAAAATAATTATATAGAACTCCCAAGTTGGTTGCTAATGTTGAAACTTTGCAGTATTGCTTATGTTTGAACACATTCCTATATTATTTTGATCAACAACGTTATTTTTAAACCTGTATTTAATTAAATGTTTAGATGTGTTAGCAAAATCATTTGTTTCTGTGTAGATACCGACAAATCGTGCATACGTGTCGTTTATCTCGCGGTATGTCTCGTGAGGTAACCAGCTCGTGTTCGTTTATTGTACGAGGGATTGTATGGTAAACAGTCGGCTTCCTGAAGGCCGTCGTCTGTCATCGTCAGTGTTGAACACATAATAAAATAAAATCGTGGCGCCAACGATAAGACAGGTAATGCGTGTGTAGCACGATTCACTAAATCGAGCGGCTAAGAGAAACATTGTTTGCTTTCCCAAAATGATGCCACTGCTTTGTTTCACAATTAGCCGTTAATCACGAATTAAATTGCCTGCATTGTTTCCCACAGTATTTTCTGCCAATTTACAATTTCGAGGATAAACGATAATGATTCTGTCGGTACATTTATCGGGATTCGCGGATTACAGTAATTTCATTTCCATTATCGCAATTGGAAATTTGCGAGACTAAAATTGAATATAAAGGGCTAAACTTGAATTAAAAAAAATATCAAATTTCATGGATATATTTACACTAGATGATAAGAATATTAGATGAGATAAGAAGCCGAATGATTAATAGTGCAAAACTTTTCCGCGCGTTGCGTCTCATAGTTATTAAACAAGACGTGACGAACGCGATACTCTTCAACTACTCTTTAGAGGAAGAAATGGATGGACCGACCGCAGAAGAAGATTTCAGAAGGAAAAATTCACGGCGCCAAAGCGAGCTAATATGGCATTTCGCAATGTATTCGAACGGAATTAAGTTAGAAGTCATATGATAAACGGCAAATATCGTTTAATTATGGAACATCTAGTTAGAACCAGTTTCACAAAAGTAAACTTTCGTGGCTGAACTCAGGAGGAGCGTCCGAGGTTTGCTTTGAGATTTTATGTGTGCCAGAATAACGCATCTGTTGACAATTCTTGTATTATTTCGTATCATTGTATACTATGAAGGCTCGCGAAATAAGTAACGAATTGTACTTGTGTTGGTTATCATGGAAAAGACGCGAACCAATCATCTTGCATCGAAAAAATCAGTAAACATTCAGTAAACACTAACTAGTAATTATATATATATATATAAAATATTAATTATATATGTTATAATTTCAAACTTAATAGTGTAATTATTTCATTGTTAAATGTAAAATTATAACATTGATTGATATGTTAATTAGTATTTACTGGATATCAACTAAGATAGCATCAATGTTATCATATAATTCTCAACAATATAAATATAACATATATGTTGCATAATAATTATCATACATTATATTATTGAAAGACTATGAAGTTATAACATTAATATTATAACATTAAGTTTCTTTTTTAGTTGATGTTTACTGAAAATTAATCCACTCTTCAGTTCCGTCGAATTAATGATTGTTACTTACTTGTATTAAAACGAGGTTCCCTATGATCATATGCCATTGCTCCTTTGGCATATCCATATGTCCGAGATTTGCTTGAGTAGAAAGACGCGACGCCAAAGTCATTTCTAAATTACCTTTCAACCCTAGAAGTGCCGGTACCAGAATCATGAGCTCATTAACTTTCTCAAAGACTACCCAGTGCTGCAAAAGAACACGAACATTAAAATGTATTTCGATGCTATAATATCATATTAATTTGAAGTCGATGATCTTCAATGTGTAAAATGATTAATTAATACGAATCAAATAAAGATCGAATTTAAATCTAGATTGAATGTTAAAATCAATTTAAGTAATTTTATTTTTTCAAACAATTCAATCGCATAATTTTACTTAAAATATTCGACATTACGAATAAAAACAATTATAGAAGCTATATTCTTTTCTATCAATACAGATTAACTTTAATCTTGATTCAATTTACTTTTTTATCTTTTTCTAGTCCTGAGAAAAAGATAAAAAGTAAATTAAATTGCGATTAAAGTTAATCTACATTAGTAGAAATCAGTATTAGACATGTTCATTTAAGAATACGATCGCGTGTCATCGAATTGATTGCCTGGATGTCCTTACTGAAAAATTGTTTAGATTAGACGTATCAACAAATCGTATCAATAAGAATGACATTTTGATACATTTTGTTGATTTAATCAAAACATTTTTTAATACACCTCTTATAAGATATTTCTAAAGATCCATGTGAGAGTTTATTATTATAAGAGTAAAAAAGATTCGTACTTGGACGAGATCGAGGACTAATCCGGCGCCCACCATGCCCAGGCCGGCGATTAGGAAGGGTATAAAGACCTGAATGGTAATCGCTAAGTATGACTCGAGCGGCTCATCCTCTTCGGTCACGCCGTAGATCTTGCTCTCGGCGACGACGTCCGGCAATCGGCCGCCATCGATGCCCTCGTCAAAGATCGTTACCTCAAGGCAGTCATCGGCATGTCCACCGGTGGTATTCGCAGCTGCTGCTTGTCCATTGGTGGTTGTTGCGGTGCTGACGGTAGTGGTGGAAGTGGTTGTGATATCTTTTGACTCGGAAGTGGTCCGCGAGCGGCCATCGGTTGGTGTCATCCTGTGGGAGTTCTGCTTCTCCGGAAGCAGAGGCTCCTTACATTGCTCACTGCCGACAGAAGGAAGATCTCCACTGATTAAAGTCTCAAAGTCGTGTTTTATTGATTATTTTTTAAATAATCAATAAATATTTTTCTAACTGCCTTTATATACAGATTAAAGAATCTTTTTTCACAATTAATAAAATATAAACGATAATATAATCCAAACCGGTTGACTTTATGCTAAAAACGAAAGAAAGTTGGAAAATTACAATTTTGTTCTCTAATGTCAACTCATAACAATATTTGCTTTGATACAACTTTTATATTTCGTACGTATATAAAATAATCTTGATTTGGTCTAGAGATTACATTACTCAACAAACAATGTTGAGTTAGACTTATTCTAAGAACTTAGATATTTAATATGAAAAATTATAGTTAATTAAAAAATTTGTACGTGTGTATGTGCGTGCGATATTAATGTAGTAGTATATAATGATAGTGATGTGGTGTCAATGTATGTAGTGATGTGTATATGTGTGTAAGTCCTATTGAATCGGCAAAATAGATCCTTTTTTTCCTCATGAATGCTGAATACTTATTAAAATTTAATACTGGAAGGTAATGATTAATTACTTATTTTGAGTATTAAAAGCACTGTTGTTTAATATTTTAATACTCAAAATAATTAGTTCGCAGTATTGAATTGACCAATATTACACTTTTAAATTCATAATGTTATCAATAATTATACCTAATTTGAGTTATTTTTAATCATTTCTACAAATCGCTACTGTTCCTAGCTGTATTTGATATGTCGTTAATTTAACTAAAAAATGGAATTAAAAATTTAACTCAACAAAATGTATTTGACTTAAATTTAATTTATTATTTATTAAGTGCATATGTTAATATAGATGTTATTTATTTTGAAACATTAATACAGAAATGGAATATTTATATTTTGAAACACATGAAAGCTAAAAATAACAAAACACTTCAAAAAATTGGATTACCATTATTTCTTTAATATCTAACAGCGTGAATTAGATTTCTCTCTCTCTCTCTCTCTTTCTCTCTCTCTCTCTCTCTCTCTCTCTCTCTCTGTAAGAGAAGAGTCTCATTAACTCTTAACGTCAATATTTATACAGAAGCTTACAGTATTGCTAATGTTTGCAATGATCACTGCAATATTGCTGAAAAGTTGCAATATTGCTACAATATTACTTTTTTATACGTATGAAAAGGCGATAAGCTCGGACCATTACAGTTTATCACTTTGGAATAAAATTGTCGAATGCCAGTCTGCGGTCTAGCTGATAACAAAATAGTCAAATATTACACACATATACACATTGCGCCTATATAACATTTCTTTTGATTTGATTTATTTGAATTTTTTTTACTTGAAAATTAAAAAAAGATCGTATCTTATTTTTAGAAATCTTTATAATCGATATATCTTTATCATCGATTATCGCGTTAAATATTAAAATAAAAAAATTCACTCCTTTTTGACGACATAAAATTAAACAGAAAAGAAGATGTTTGAATTAGGATTGTTATTTTTGATAGCTTTGAAGATTCGAGGCTTGGAAAGAATTAAAAGTTTCAAAATTAACTTCAAACTTTTAAAGTTCGTATCTTCGAAGTTAATTTTAAAACTTCAAGAAATAAATTTGTACGAATAGAAAAAAAATGGAAATATATTCTTAAATATATTTGTACATTTTTAATGAAAATATTTGTATTACCATTAGCTATATTAAATTAATAATTATACAATTTTCATTTTTCAAAGTTTTGAAGATTGAAGTATAGAAATTTTGAAGCTTCAAAATAATTTTAATGTCTAATTCGAAGCTTCAAAGTTCGAAGCCTTTGAATTGTAAAATGAATCGATGTCTGAGGAATGAATGAGGAACGCGTGGTGTGCGTGCATCGATCATTGTAAATCGCACGCAAGTGAATAAATTGAATCATTATTAATTTCGTCACATGATACTTCTTTAATTCGCAGTCCCATGCCGAAAGCACTATTATTCGCCGTTTTTCAGTGCTTGAGACGTAAATTCACGTTTTTTAACCCGATATATTGGGTTATTTTTTTCACGAGATCGAGAGACCAAAAACTTTTTGCACAATACTTTCCAACGTACTTTTCAAACTTGATGGTATTAGCATTCTGGAGCGGCTGCGACTTGTCGGGCGGCACTCGTACCGGATGTTGATGCACCTGGCCCTCTATCATCATCCTACTGAAGGCTGTGTGATACTCGCTGCCACGAATATACAGCCATTCTCTTTTGAGAATGATAAGACTCGCGTCGCCAACAACGACGACGACGACGACGGCGGCGGCGGTTGTATTTCAGGACAAATAATGTAAATTACGTAATTATGCCAAGAGTGACTATCTTTTTCTTCTCTCTCTTTCTCTCTTTTTCTTGCTGATTAGATTTGTTCAGGAACTATTAATTACGGCGAAAATCAAAATATGAATGATCCAGCGACGTGCCAGTCGAAGAAAGGTAAGCAACCTCTTCCTGCCTGAGGATACTGTCAAATAATTGTCATGTTATTTTAACTGCAAAATTAATTACATATTCAGCTTAATTAGAATTCCTTCGCCAAAAAAAAGAACAATTTAAAGTAAAAAAAAAATGACTAGATCAGATAAAAATAATCTAAAAATAATTTTACTGGACCATTAAAGTATTTATAGAAATCACATGATAAGCAATGCTATAAACAATTTTGATTTTAGCAACCAGTTTGAGTGACCTACATCATTATTTTGAAGATCCAACAAAATCAGATCAGTCTTTAGTTAAGTTTTTAGATACTTCACCGTCCTTTCCGTGTTAAAGTCATTATTAAAGAAATCTCAAAAGCCTACTCGATAAGCACATTAAACATAATTTTCTAATTAAAAAAAATAACACGTTCGAAGCGTTAAAATTTAAAATCGTTTTTATGACATGTCCTGAAAAATCAGTATATAAATATATTACTACACGAAAGAATGATTTTGCTGAAAGGTCTAAAATTTTGCTATATACATACAGATATACATACAAATATAAAATTAATTTTGTTGGACCATCAAAAATAATCATTGGAAACTAAAAAATAGTAAGTAATATAAGTGGCAAAAATTTTGAAAAAAATCTAGCAATCAATTAAATTTCCAACAAAATTATTTTTAGGTGTGTATCCGACAAAATTTTGGGTTTTTTTAGCAAAATCATTCTTTCCAAATAATCAGCTGATGTTTTGGCCACACAAACTTTACGTCATATCTGAAGATTCATTGTAAATTACTCATTGAATTACTCGAAAAATCGATTATTCCCGCGACATTGATTTTATTCTTAAATTAATTGCCAAATTTTCAAATCACACCTGCAAAATGATTGAATGAACATATATCATATATATGTGAGATGGCATCTACATGGTTTCGTGATTTTATGAGTCTTTATCGCGTGTGTCGTGCAAATAGATGCATCACGTGTGTCATTAATTAACATGTAACGCTCAATTTCCTCTTACTTGAGTTCCGCTTCGGAAGGAATCGTGATAATCTGTTTTGCGATAATTCCACGTATCGCTCCATATGTATGTAATTAAATTAATTTGCATGAATAATAATGTTAATAAGTTATTCATGTTCTCTATATAATTTTCCTCTTATTTCAATAAAAATCCAATTGTCAATTAAAACCAGTTTAATTTTTACGCGAGATTACTAGATATTTAGCCTTGGATGTGTACATGAAATTCACGAGCGCACTTCGATATCGCCGCAGAAGAGTACATCAACGATGATAACGTTCAGTCGTGCGGTGACCTTACGTGAAAATTGAAACCGCAAGAGCGACTTGATTAAGGCCAAATCGCATGCGCGACCATTCGATTGAGCAATATTGCCTTTGTAATCTTAATTATAATGTTGATTTTAAACAATCAATGTCATTTTGCAATTCGAAGAAAAGAAAAAATTTTATACGCTAAAAGTATCACGACTGTATATGGACAAGCATATGAAAATTTTATTTCTATCGAAATTGAATATGCAATTTTCTAGAATGAGAGATATTTTAAAATAGTTGCTCTTTCACTTCTTCGTCTAATTATTTTTTATTCGTTCTTCTATAATTCTTCATGCTTATTTGTTCTTTCAAGATTAGAAATATACAACTTCTCATTAATTTCTAACGGAAAGAATCATTTTGCTGAAGTATCTAAAAATTTAGCTAGACTTGAAAATAATTTTGTTGGACTATCAAATTTATTATATATTATGTAGGATATTCTAGCATAATAAATAATGCCGTAAAAAGTTTTGACATTCTAGCAAGCAGCTTGAGCGCCCTATATAAATGGTTTAACGAAATTTATTTTCAGATGTATATCTAGCTACGTATTTAGATACGTTAGTGAAACCGTTCTTTCCGTGTATAGATCTAAAAATATTTTTACTGGACTATCAAAATAATTAATAGAATGTTCAAGCTGATTATTAGAATATCGAAACTTTTTGCATCAGTGCTTCTCATACTGTACAGGACATTGAAAAAATGTTGCTGAGACGTTGCGATATTGAATGTTGAAGTATAAATGTTTTTTTTAACATTAAATTTATATTTCGCAATTTTGATACAACATTCGTTGCAATTTAACGTTTATGATATGCAATATTAATGTACACTGTACACTGAAAAAAATGATCTTGCAGTTATAACGAAAAAATTATCTAAATACGAAAAATTAGCTAAAATAAATAAATGAACAAGCACTGCGATATTAGGTATGTTTTGCATCTAATCAATATAGATGGCAGAGACAGAATTTATATTTGAACTATTTATCAAATTTATCAACAAAGTTTTTCTTAACGTTCAATCAGATAACTGTGACTGTGATTTATATTTAGCAGTGATTCATATTTGATTATAAAACCTAAATTTTCTTGTATATATTGTTAGAATATAGTGCTATAAATTCTATGCGTATGATATATAATTCTTTACTAAATAAAAAAAAAACAGATAATTCCAGCTGAAGCAGCAAAATATTTTTTTGCATGAATGAACTTGAGTTCCTATATATTTATTTTGATGATATACACAATAAAATTAATTTTAAATTTGTATTTATTTTAACTTTTGTATACTTCAGCAAAATCTTTCTTTATATTGACTCCGCTTGATCGCTCTATTTTTTGCAGAGATGACATATTTGAATTTCCCTCAAACGAAAAGCATGAAAGCGGGCTTTATAATCGAGACAATTGAGACACAACTAGGTCATTCTCTAATCGATACAGATCAATGTCGAGTCACTCATGCGACGATCGACTGTGCGATCGCATTTGATATTCACATTGTCTGATCAGCTGCACCTTGCGTTACACATTGACCGGGCCCGGAAACGCATGTTGCATCACGCGAATTGCAGTTCTCGTGACCTTAACCTACGCAATAAAGCTGTTCCTGAGAGACTCTATCTGCATTTCGTGTCCTTCGTTCATCACGATTCCCTGAATCAACGAACAGGTAGTGGCCGACACGTGGCGGGAAAACTACGTTCGCGAAGACGCGGGCTCGACCTTCGTTCTTCCGGTTTCACGCTACCGACCGTTCTCTTTTTTCCCACGGTTCCGATTTTAGGAGAGATCTTCGCAATGACGAAACTTATCAGCGGCTGTCTGTATGTCCGAGATAACGATATTGGACATGTGTCTCGTATCGTCTAAAATTGGATCCATAATTGTGCGTTCAGCTCATCACGAGATAACGTTTCGAAGAGAGCAGGCCACAGTGGCCATAGGAAGTCGATGACTTTGGTTCGATAACGATTCAATTGATTTTTCTGATACCTGACAAAAATTAGTCAGAATTTCTCTTTAAATTTTAACTCTAATTAGTACTGGCAGGTCCAGTGAATCTGAACATTTTTTTTTATAATAATTACGTTGTGCAAAATTGTTTATAGCATATGTTTTTCACATAATTTTAAGTTGCATAATCTTATTATAATTACTTAATCTTATTTCATGTAACACTTTGATTTATTATAACAACTCGGATTTTGATCTTCAAAATGAAAAAGAAATCATTCAAATATGTTAACTTTAAGCAAAAATACATTAAAATTCATTGCATCCATGAATTTCAATTAAGGAAATTTCGGAATATCAATTATAGTTAATATTTATTTTAAAAAATAATTTTCTAAAATTCTTAAAAAATAGACTATTATTAAATTAATTATTCAATTATTTTCGCTTTACTTAAATACTCTCAAGTCTCGCTCACATAAGATTTCATTTGTACCTTGCGTCAGCTGTTACAATCTATTCATGACTTAAAACTCTTAGCAATGCACGAGAATCGATCTAAACTTTTTGAATAGTACTCTTTGGAAACTTTTTCGCGGAATGAAATGTGATTCGCAAATCTCATTTCTAAAATAACTCGTATTTTTCTCTCCTCGTCAAAGCGTCTAGTTGGACCAGACCAAATTCCGACTTCTTCGAATGGCTGCTCTCTTCGTTCGTACCTGAATTCTCAGGCGTGGTCCTAAACAGACCGCTGACGTTCCCACGAGATCTCCCGTCGAGTCCCCCCCGTCTAGCCAGGTCGCTGATCGCCGGCTCGGTGGCCCGGTGATCGTTTTTTCGGCGCGAGATCAGCCTACGTCCAGCATCTGATGGTGGTCACCCGGTGGCCTGGTGCGAGGCCGTTTCACGCTGCGGTTACATCGCGACTGATCGCGACCGTGCTCGCGTGCATGCATGCCTCCTTAAAACTAGTTTGGGGACACATGAGCCTTCTGTTTGTGTGTGTCGACGGCGCGCCGGAGGGAGCAAGCGCAAGTTTATCGATCAGCCGGCGACTTCCCAGTCAGACCAACCGCAAATTCCTCACGGCTGTACCGCCACTCCGGTACCGGTATACCAATAGCGCACCATCCCTTGAATCCGTCTGGAAGGGTCGTCTTTCGCACTTTGAGTTCCCAACGTGACGTCACTCGGACTCATTATCGTTCACCAGTTGCGTCATTATTTCGTTCGAACCGCGCAGTGTTATCCAGTGGATCTAGCGTGGGTCTCCGCTTCGAGTTTTCCACCGACGCTTTCGGTCATTTCCAAGAATCCACGAAGAGCCACACTCGCGTTTGTAATCCTGATGACGTCATCTCGGAATACTCGATCGTCAAGGCTTACGTCATCGTTTCAGTGCATTCGACACATTGCACTGTCTCTCGTAGTACACTTTATTTAAGAAATGTTTTTAGGATGTTTTCTGAACATTTCCAAAAATCGCCCTCATATTTGAAATCCTACGATAACGTTGCCTTAGAATCTCCAAAGGTCAACAGTTATATCATCGGTTTGGTGCATTTGACTGGTGCATTGCATTGTCCTACATATTTTATTCGAGAGACATCATGGGAACGTCTTTGGACAAAGGAACGTTCTCAAGATATTTTTATAAATAACTTTAGATATTTTTAGGATTTTGGAGGTCTGTATAAGATGTTATTTATAA